CAGTAGATAACTCTCCCATTATCAGGTGAATCTATACAGTACAGTTCTTTATATTCTTAGAAGAGGTACCGCTAATCAAATTAGAAAATAAGGATGTGAGCCTGATTTTTTTTTTCATTCTTTACTTGTTTGTCTTTTTACACATGGATCATTGATTGAGAATTGCTCCTAGGAACATAGTAAGAGTCATTCCAGTAGAGCAGAAAATAGATGTCCCAGGGAAGTCTAGAGTTTTTTTTTTTTTTTTTTTTAATAAACAGAAAGCGCCTGAGATGAAATTGTAAGTTGAGGGGAAGGTAAAGGAGATGGTTCATCAGAGGATAAAAAGAAGAGGCTGGGAATATACAATTTATCTCTGCACTAGAATGTTATTTCTTAACATTTTAACTCTTTAAAAGAATTAACATTCTTAACATTTTAACTCTTTAAAAGAATTATTACTCTGTGTGTGTGCATCTGTCAAAGGACAATTTATAGGAGTTGGTTCTTTCCTTTCCATATGTGGTTCCAGGACTTGAACTCAGGTCATAAGCCTTCTGTGGCAAGTGTTTCTTGTTTGTTTTTTGTTGTTATTGTTTGTTTGTTTCAAGACAGGGTTTCTCTGTGTAGTTTTGGTGCCTTTCCTGGATCTCGCTCTGTAGACTAGGCTGGCCTTGAACTCACAGAGATCTACCTGCCTCTGTCTCCTGAGTGCTGGGATTAGATGTGTGCACCACTACCACCGCCGTCTGGCCTGTGGCAAGTGCTTTTACCTACTGCGAAATTGCCAGCCCCAACATTTTAACTTTTTAACAAAATGTTTAAACCAAATCAATGTGTTCTTCTTTCTATGTCATAAAAAAAGAAACAGGACTTTGTGGTTGAGTGCTTGCTGCTCTTTAAGACCAGAGTTTGTTTCTTAGCACCCACATTAGGCAGTTCATAACCACCTGTACCTCCAGATCCAGGGGTCTGATGCCTTCTTCTGGCCTCCATGGGCAGAATACACATGCACATACACATATAAACTATTTTTTAAAGGAAACCAATTTCCATAAATTCTCTACCACAGCCCATAGATTTATATTAAATTTTAGCTGTCATTTCTGAGTTTCAGTATTCCTGGGGTTTGTTGGTTTTATGTAGGAAGAATAGTGTGAATATTCTACATGGGGCTGTCTCTTGAAACTTAAATATATTCTGGGTAGATGGAGAATTTTCTGGTCTGTACTACTACTTCCTAGCATCAGCCCTTCACGAGTTCATGGGAAGAATATCTGTATTATCTGCCCCAAACATGGGTAGGGTTTCCATACAGACACTTTGGGCCAAGCCATTAATAGATGGCAAGGATCAAGAGCTCATCAAGGATTTGAGTCCTTGTACACAGATACAACACGGCCACCAAGGAAGAGCGAAGAAGACGGAAAGGAGTATCACTTCATCTCAACAGAGGAAATGACAAGGAACATCTCTGCCAATGAGTTCTTGGAGTTTGGCAGCTATCAGGGCAACATGTTTGGCACCAAATTTGAAACAGTGCACCAGATTCATAAGCAGGACAAGATTGCCATCCTTGACATTGAGCCCCAGGTAGGTAGGCATACAAAGGCAGGAACAATGGGTTCAGCCATATAATGGGGGGAGTGATAAAAAGGGGAGCTCCTGGAAACCTGGAAGTTCAGGCTTGCTTCCTAACTTTTAGTGGGGTCAGCCTGATGCAAGAACAGTAGTACTGGGAACAATGCAAAGTGGTATTGGGGATTGGTGACACTTATTAGAAGGAATACATTTTGACAGACAGCTGGGACTTTTGTTTTTCTTCCTTCCTCTTTTCCTAGACCCTGAAGATTGTTCGAACAGCTGAGCTTTCACCTTTCATTGTGTTCATCGAACCTACTGACCAGGGCACTCAGGTGGGAAAGGGGTCATGCAAGGTGGGTGGAGAGTTCTAAATCATGGTCAGCTGTTTCCTCCAAGGCCAAGACAAAGGGCATGCATACTTTACTCATTCAAGAGATAGTTAATAAACAAGTCAGGTCCAGTCATTGTCCCTGATAATACAGATCTAATAACTGAGATGGACAGTTGAGTAAATCCTGATTCTGATGTGATGTGGATTCATCACAGAGTAGAGGGAGTTATGAAGGACAGAGGTGGCACCAGATCCACCATGTGGTGCAGTATGGCTACAAAGGGAAAGGAGCCTGCCTGTTAGGAGTAGCTGTTTCCTTTCCTCTAATAGCATGTCATTTGCATTTTAATTTTTTTTAATTTTTTAGCTAGCATTTTAGAAGTGTGGTATTTCTAAGAGATTGTTTACTTACTATTCAGAGTTACAATCCCAGCACTTGAGGGGTAAAAGGAGGATCAGGAGTCCAAAGCCAGTTAGTTACATAGCAAGCTCAAGGCCAGTCTGGACTACCTAAGACTGTCTCAAAACACCATTTGAGGCTAGCCTGGGCTAGAGTTCAAAGCCAGTCAGAACAAATTAGTGAGATTGCCACACAAACAAAACAGCTATTTGTGTTGCTTGTAATGTGACTTATCTGGCTGTCCTTAGCTCATTGGGTCAGTGGCTTGATCTTATCATCCATTTATAAGAATTCTGTATTTGGGTATTTTACTCTGATAAGCAGTTACAAATACCACCCCCCCCAGCCTGTTTTTCTCTATACATTTTTACTTTTATGTAGTTTATTGACCACTGGAGCCAGAAGCCTATTATCAATAATCTTTGTCCTTATCCTGGGATTACAACTCTAGTAGCTGTTAAAATGGCTTTTCCATGTACGAACAGATGAAACTAAGTGGATAATTCTAGTGAAGCCTATGCTAGGTTGCTTTTGGCCTTTCAGAGGGCTCTATTTATAATTAGGGTTAATTTGGGATCCTTTAGTATAGTGGTTCTCAACTTGTGGGTCACGACACCTTTGGCAAATACTTATATCTAAAAATTTACACTATGAATCATAACAGCAGAATTACAGTTATGTTTAGGGGTCATCACAACATAAAGGGTTGAGCCACTACTTTAGAAAGTAGTGTTCTTAATTGATTGTGGATCCCCAATATGGAAACAAAATAGTAGATAGGGAACTAGTTAATGTAACCAATACCTGTTCAAAATCTCCCCTTGGCTGCTATGAGTTGGGGCTGCTGCTTCAGCTATGGCTTTCTTCTTTGCAGACTGAAGCCCTGCAGCAGCTGCAGAAGGACTCTGAGGCCATCCGTAGTCAATATGCTCACTACTTTGACCTCTCTTTGGTGAATAATGGTGTTGATGAAACTCTTAAGAAATTGCAAGAAGCCTTTGACCAGGCTTGCAGTTCTCCACAATGGGTACCTGTCTCCTGGGTTTACTAAGCTTACAGAATTGGAGAACCTGTTCCAGCCCCTCCCCAGCACTTGGAATGCCATCCCCCTTGCTTAATCCAAACAGGGCTGCTTCAACTTCTAGCTATCTGCAACTATCCTAAGTATGTCAGTAGGATTCAAGTCTTCTCACTCAGGCTCCTAAAAGGGCTGGTTTAATTTTCCTATTTAGATTTCAAAATGATCTCTGAAAACTGGCAGTAAGTACTATCCAAATACAACTGCTGCACAGAAAAAGTAACTCTCCTCATGCCTCTAATGCCTGAGCTCTTTTACCTTCAACTATACTATCTTGTTTTTTACTCTGGGATAAGTATATTCTGAAACTTTCTAAAATGCCAAAATCAATCAGCTGTGCAATAGAATTTCTGCTCTAGAGAAACCCTCCAAAGCAATAAAAATTCTGCTGTGTTAAGATGCCAATGGCCTTATAACTGTATTTCCATCTGCACCACAATCCCCCAAAAAAGCCGGGTGTTATCTTTTCTTTCTTTCTTTTTTTGGTTTTTTCGAGACAGGGTTTCTCTATGTAGCTTTGGGCCTGTCCTGGATCTCGCTCTGTAGACCAGGCTGGCCTCGAACTCTCAGAGATCCACCTGGCTCTGCCTCCCAAGTGCTGGGATTAAAGGCGTGTGCCACCACCGCCCAGGCAAGATGCTTCTCTGGATTTAACATACAGGTGAGTTTTTTTACAGCAGTATCCTTGGAAAACCTGTCACTGCCAATATAGGTCTCTAAGAAATGGTGTTAACAGAGCATAAAATTGTCTGCTCTAGGTAGAAGCCACTTGGGGCATTTTTAGGCTTCCTATTAAGTCATACTAGAATGAATGAAAATACATCTCACAGAAGCAGGACCTTAGGGGTGAGGTGAGGCACTTCATACCTGCCTAGGCCCAGGCTCAGACCTTTGCTGCACCACAATGTTTAAAACTTCTGCTTGTATTCTTGGCTTTGGACACATATTTAAGCAATCATTTTTAACACTCCACCCCACCCTTTTCTCCCTGGTCACCCTGCAGCCAACACCAGAACTGGCAGTTTCCCACCAGCAAAACAATTATATCCCCAACCCTGACACCCTCAAGCCCATTTGACCCACTGGCACACTACAACACATCTACTTTCTCCCTCTGTTTTGGCAAACACTGGATTTGTAATGATCCCCCTTGAGAGCAGTCGACCGCAGGTGATAGGCCCCAATGCCAATGTAAGACACAGAAACAAGAAATTTAAAAGTAGCAAAAGGAAAAGCAAATTTCAAATAGGAAAAAAAGATTCCCAGATTTTTAATAAAAATATTTTCATTTTTGTTCTGTCAGCCTAAGATTATCAATTAGAAAACCCAACAGGAATACTTTTAAAAAGCTACAAATCACATTCTTTTCCTAGCAATGAACAAATTCTTCAAAAGAAAATAAACATTAGAACAGGAGGGTATAGGAATGCTTTGGCTTCCCCCACAAACACAAGCAGCCAAATGGAATTGGATAAATCCTGTTGTACACAACAACAGAGTGCTTGCCCAAACACCATGAATACTACCAGGCCAGCAAGACCCATATCTGATACCAGAGCAGCCCTCACAAGATACTGGAGATAAGATTTCCCAAGTGAACATGGTTCATTTATATTCTTCTACTCACAGAAGGTTCTATACCATTTTATTTAGCAGATTTAAATTTTACAAACATTAAAAAAAAAACAAACTAGGAGAGAACTATCTATGGCATTGTTTAAAATGGCCATTAGTAAACAGCTGCAGACAGTTACTAGGCAGTGCCATGTCTGAAGGTATGCTCCCCCACTCAAGCAAGCAGAGGGGTCAGTGGCAAAAACTGCTTTTCATCTCTCATATCCTTAAAACAGGACAGGACAGGATAGGATGAAATGGCCACACCCTAACCACTGAGGTCACAAGTGTAGGCTAAAGTGTACCAGAACTCTATACTCTGTTTGGGACCTCTGTTCTACTCCTCAACAAAATGTTTTTCAATAAGGTTTTCATTTCTCCTCCTAGCTGGACACAATGCTTCAAGTGGCTTTTACTATTCAGACATCTTTTCCACCACTTTTACTTTCTTCTTCTTTTTCTTTTTCATGATGTCACTGTCCTAAAGAAAGAGAAAGTAAGTTCAAAATACCCATTGCCAAAACATTTATGACTGTTCCCAAAAGAAATCTGGTAAATTGCAGTCAAGGATCTGTAAGGACATTTGGGGTCAAACAAATTTTGCCTGTGACCTTCTCAGTGAAGTTCTAGAGATCTACTTTAAAAGGGCACTGAGCAATCAAGATATACATCTTCCCCACCCACCAGCAACATAATTCAAACCATGATCCACTGCTCTAAAATGCTGGGTGTCTCTACTTGTCTGTCCAAGGAGAGTGGACAGGGCAAATCCAGAACACAGGGCAGTACCAAAAGTGGCAATGGTAGAACCCTACTTCTGTACCACAATTCCTGTCAAAGACTCAGCCAGCACAAAGCTACCCATGGTTTACACATACCCCATCTCCAGCCTCGCCCCCACTTTCTAGCACGGTTTTAGGCTTCTTATTCTTCTTATTCTTCTTCTTTTCCTTTTTCATCAACTGAGGAACAACTGGAGAGGTCTCATCACTTTCACTCTCACTTTCCCGCTTCCTCTGAGATTAAAAAAATAATTCATCCAGTTAGAAATGTGAGAAGTTACCAAGAAAGTTTCCAAGTAAACCCAACAGTAAATTGTGTCTATAAACTTGAATAGTGTCTGATTTATTAAAGATTTGAAAAGACAGTATCTCACTAAATAGTACAGAAGGCCATGGGCATGATGGGTGTGCCAAAGCAGTTTGGGGTATAGAAGACCTTGAGAAACTGTCAGTGAACCAACTCCAAGACCTCCAAGAACCTGCTCAAACAGGCACAAATCACAAATTCCACCCACGTAGCTTATTACTAGTCACCCAAATTTATAACTGCAGACATACCATTTGGGGCTCTGACAGTGGTCCCCCAAACTTGGGAAGCTAAGTCACCATCATATGCTTCACTCTTTTCCTTTCAACAGTGTCTGAAGATATTTTTGACAATTCTGCTCCCTGCTGAGTTTCCTCCAGGCCTCTGATTGCAGCACACTTATGCTACCTATCATTTGACCCAGGGTAAAGTCAAATGTGTCACATACATTCCATATAAGGTGACTGCCACGTCAGAGGTAGGAGCCAAGGTCAGTCTTTTTAAGCCCACACTCCCTCTACAACAGACATAACACAAATGCCACTGAACCCAATAAGCATCAAGTATCAAACAATATTTGTGTGTGGACCACAGCATGGATAAAGCCTGCCTTGCTAGCTAAGACATGGGGCTGGACTGCTTTGTTAAACATTTGGTGTATCTTAGCATTCTGTCTCCAAGCACACACACGTGTGTGTGTGTGTGTGTGTGTGTGTGTGTGTGTGTGTGTGTGTGTGTGTGTGTGTGTGGTTTTGTTTTTCGAGATAGGGTTTCTCTGTGTAGCCCTGGCTGTCCTGGAACCCTGGAACTCACTTTGTAGAGGCTAGCCTGACTTGAAGCAC